TTTACGAGGTTTACATGGTTACTAGGCATTTACGCGTTTCCATGAATTGCCCTACTGTTTCGTTTTTGAACGTGAGAAACATGTGTAATTGAATTATCGATTGGTTGGACTATGTACTTTTTTATCTAAGTGTATATTCAGAATTGTTACCGGGTTAAAAGTGTAGTTATGTACATAGAACATAGATATTAAACACTAACTACAGATCTTCACTAGAAGTTCATAACTAAAAAAAAAAATTAAATTAAATAATAAAGTACACATTAAGGAAACTCTATACAGCATGGAAGTGCTTAAGGATGGCGAGATAGATATAGAGAGAGAGATGTTCTAAGCGGGTAGCCAATTAGTTTCTGATGGTGCGATTTCTACAAGGCGACAGTGTGGCGATATGTAGTTGTGTGTTTTCATTGTATTTGTATGTGGACTTTAAGTCATACGAATAAACATACAAAACAATTTTAGCTGTGGGTGTATTGTTTTATTGAGCTTTTGAGTTATGGTAATTACCTTGCATCAAGTTTCCTATAGATTTTTAAACAAAGGTTACAACGTGATAACGGGATATTTTTTTTTATTTGTTTTTTTTTTTTCAGTTTCAATGGGATATGGTTGTGTAATTTTGGAACGCGTTTAAAGAGAGAAAAACAAAGAGATAAATAGAAAATAAGAACTTTTTAATATAAAGCAAACGCATTAATTATGTAGACACTATATCGCTAGGGTGGGGTTGTGGTTAGTTAATGACGGACGTTTCGGGATAAGGATTCAACATGAAAATTGTAAAAAGTGGATGGGTTAAAGTTAACAGAAAAACTTGGTATAGTTAAAAGACAAAAATGAAATTACAAAAAAAGAACAAAACTATTCCGTTTAGTCATGGCTCGGAATAAATACACAAACATCTTAAGAATGTTCGCTAAAGGACGCAAACTAAACACAGTAATCAATCAAATCCAATTTTCCAAATTTATAAAATGCATGCCAATTCACTTACGATTCTGTGGCTCCGCCAATTCGATCAACGTTTCTACGGTCAATATACTCTCCAGTGTTATCTGCAGCTCCATATCGGTGCGTGGAGTCTTCGCCGTTTCTGCATATAAGCCCTCGATGATGCGTGGCGCCAGTGCATGGATGTACGGCGTGGATATCTTAAGATCAGCTTTGGCGAAAATCGAACGCGTAGTTTGTATGCATTTCAACTTCACTGACAAATGCTCCGACTGCATACACTGTCGGAAGTGATTTATACATGGATATTGCAGCGACGGTGTGGACACCACCGAGGCGGGTGTGTGTAGTATAAAGACGGCTATGGCCAATAACATGGTTACTTCATCCACCTTTCGCTCTTCTTCGTCGCCCGCAGTTTTTGTCATGTCAATAATGGTGGCCAGTGCGCTTTGCAATATTGCCATCCATTCGGCGGAGACTAATTCGTGCTTTGCCCAACGGTTAGTGCATACGGATTTGAGCGTATGCAGCGACGCCTGAACTGCGCCCGTGTTTGCGAGTATTGTAGTGTCAATGGACGATTTGTTGGCGATTTCGCGCATTATCGATGTAGTCATGAAGGCGATGGTAGGCAATATTGTTAGCGCGCCTTTCGGTGAGCACAGCGCTGTGAGATCCTCAACACATTGTAAGCCGCTGGCAACAAGCATGCCGTTATCTTCAGCTAACACCGAGAAGAAAGATTGTGATGAGCTGTTTTTGGCGGCTAATTCCTGCTTAAATTGAATTGTGCTCAGCTTGCTGGCGACGCTCGGATTCATTGAGGGTATTTGTCGAACGAATACACAAAGACACACCTCCAGCACGGCATAGACGTGCGAATTGCCGGGAACAATTTCGCCACCTTCACCGCCTTCACCTAAATTCTCGATTTCTGTCTGTAGGTGCGCGTTATCGGTGTTGTCATTATTTTTATTGTTTTGAGCAAGGTGCTGGTCACGTTTCAATTGTAGATCCTCCTTGGCCGCGTGTATCGACTGTTTTAGTATCTCCATGCAGAGCAATTGCACCAGCAGCTCATCTCGAGTCAAAATCTGTCGATGCAAAACGTTGCACAGTTCAATGGTCAATGTTTTGTTCTTAATCAATTGTTTACGCGCCCAATCAGAATCGAAAATCGTGAAAAGTGATTGCAAACAACTGATGACATTTTTCGGCTTCTCAGATGTACGCGTGCTGCACAAAGCCTCCATGCAAATACCGAAAATCATATGGAAGCGATCGGCTGAGAGTGAGCCATGAGAAATATTGTTGTTCGATTCGTATGCGGCGCCATCGGCACCTGTTGCGCTTGTATTTGCATATTCGGCAAAACCTTCGTCCTTCAGCCACAACGAAGCTGCATACAGGATGGGCGGCCACGAGGACAAATAGTGCGGCTTAGACGAGTTAATCGTATCTGTAGTGTAGAAAGCGCCACCATCGTGCGGCAATTGACTTTGGAACTCTACGGGAAGCAGCAAAAGCGCGTGATCTTTCATTGCAGCTAGCCAGTGTGTGGACAGATTTTTTAGCTCTGGTTTAACCAGACTGAGCAAACTTTCGCCGCGGCTTTCGAAATCACCAAAATCTCCGCCAGCCGCCTCGGATCCTTCCAAATCTAGACCACTTGTAAGGGGTGTTATTATGTTCGAAGAAGTGAGTTTCTTTTGCAGCAAGGAGGCCGGGGCCGAACCATTGCCGATCATAGCGACAATGTACACCTCCGCCCAGGCTTTTAAAATGCTCAACTTTTCCAATGTTGCCATAGATTCATTGTATAGTTGGGTACTGTTGGTTTTGGTATGCAATTTGTCGAGGGAAGATACCAGTAAATGGTGTACGCGACGCAGATCGTTCAGGTCTCGGGCGACACCTGAGCCAATCCAAGCAGAACAAACTTCACACGCGGCCGCTGTGACATGCGATGGAGTGTCTGGTGAGAAAGCTGGACGTAGAGCTGCACCGACCTGGGGAAAAACGAAAATACCCGTTAAAAAAAAAAAAAAAATTAGTGCGCCTGGGTCACACTGCGGAATTGAAACATCTCGGTAAGTTTCAATCTCAATTTTAGCCTTAAACCACATCATGCATCATAATTCGATTATATACTCTCAATATTAATATGGGTTACAAGAGAGAAATAAATGGATCCCAAATGCCAAATTTTTCGCAACAATTTTTTAATTCACTATCGTTACTAAAGAATTTGCACTTGAAAAATGAAATAGATCGAGCATTGAAAGTGGGCTTACCTGCGCTTGAAATTGTTCCAGCAACAAATGGCCTGGAAACTCTGGCTCTGGCACATTTGCAAATCGATCGATTATTTCCTGTAACGTGCGTAGACCCTCTAATCGTAGTTGATCAGAGTCCGAAGTGGCTGCCATGAATGACATACGTATTAACTCGGACAGATGTAGAATCAGATAGTCGCCACGTGATTTTATCATTTGCATTTCTTTAGCCTGTATCAGGTCCAGATGTATAGGATTGGCTGCCTCACAAGTGGCTATGATTTTACGTACACACTGCGCTGCAAAAACGCGTGTCGGCCAACGCGGCTGTACGGCCGGATGCGTGGAGGTATTCTCCTCAGCGTGATACTCAGTTACATCATCATAATCTTCTTCTTCGTCATCATCATCGCCCTCACCTTTGTTTGCACTATCATTACTGCCGCTGTTGGACTTGCTATTTATGGCCTCATGCTTCAAACCGCCCGCTTCGTCTTGAAGCGAGATTCCCTCAACAGCAACGGTTAGTACATTTTTACACAAACTCAGCCATGAGCTTAGATTATCGGAAGCTAACATTTGTAGCATGGACGTTAGTGTATCGTGGATATTTTTCAACATTTCTGCATCGGTTTCGGTGTCCAGCATGGCAAAAAGTACACCCGGAAGCCCATATTCGGTTATCGTGATATCCGGACATTGCTCAGGCGTCATGGTAAGCGCTAGTTCGCACACTTCTTTGGCCTCACGCTGGGAGAGCTGACGCAAACAAGAAACAGCAGCTTTACGCAGCATTAAATAGTTGCTTGAGAGCGTCTTCACCAATGTGGGCACCAACGAACTCAAATTAACATATTTCGGTCCGAAGAGATGCAACTGTTGCAGGCAGCCGGTAGCCTCGGCCTGCACCAGCGGATCGGTGTGCGCTTGCATTATGGCCGACGCGCAAAGGAAAGATGAACGCATCGCGCCCACAGCGCCGCTGTTGCTCTGTCAAAGACAATTTGAACAGACAAAATTAATAGCTACACACCATGAAAATATTTATTACACGCAAGTACCTGCAGCTCCGGTCCAACAGTTGTTATGAGTGCATTCAATACACGCCCAACGCACTGGTGAACGTCCACATTGGTCTGTGGCACAGAAAGCAATAACTTCAAGCACAAGGATAAAGTTGCCTCAACATAACCACGGAACATTGGTCCGCCAGAGTCGGCAATGAGCGCCAACGCATACAGCGACCAAACTTGCACCACCGGCGACGAGGTGTCCTGTGCCAATGCCAGCAGAATTGAAACGCTTGTGTTCAAATGATGTGATGACCCCATGCCGCCGACGTAACGATGCAAGCAACCCAATGCTAGCGAATGGCCAGTGCGTGTGACTACATCACGTGCGGACTTCAATTTGTCAAATGAATTCTGCGCCAATTCAGCGGTAAATCGTGAATCGCCGACCACTTGCGCCATACGACCGATGGCTTCACCGGCAGCGCAACGCAGCGTCGAATTGGTGCTCACCAAAGCTGCCACGACCAAATTTGTAGCGCTCTTCTTTACATCCTCCTGACCAATGCCGCACTTGCTGTCGGTGAGTCCTTTCAAACCGCTCAGCAACGCAGTGAAAATATTCATCTGTACGGCTTCTTGACGGCTACTCTTCGCTTGCCGTATACATTCGGCGAAATGTTCCAACATTTGCAAGCGATGTTTATTGGCCACTTTCGGAAAGATTAGACCAAACAGCGTGACGGACATGTCGATGACAGCAACGCCCAAGGGCAGTGGACCCGGACATTGATCGACCTTGTTGACTGGTGTATTGGAAACGGCGGCGATAGCGGCTGGGCCCACCAAACCACTAATTGGTGGACGGTACAAGCAGCAGGCATCATGCTCGAGCGCACCCGACCCAGCAGCACTGTTGGGTTGTAGCTGAGGAGATGAAATGAAATAATTTAAATACGGGACTTATTTAATGCATTGCATGGGAAGCGGCTAGAAAAGATGATATTTCCATCACTTATTTTACAAATCATTTTTCTGGAAGAGTTAAAAATTAAAATCTTCAAACCAAAAATATTTATTATTCAAGGATAATCGTAGTTTGGCGCAGTAAACAATTTTGAGGATTAAAAATAAAACGAAGTAAAAAATTTTGCAATGACTTCTTCTTAAGTCCCAACAGGTAACCTTAAGAAAAAAGTCCTATTAGTCTTTTATGAATAAGTTGAGAAATTCAGGGTATTCGAGAATTTTTTAATACTGTTTTGTTTTATGTCCGTTAAAAACTTTTTGAAATTGGCTTGATTTTGTTAATAATAATAATATTTAGTAGGACATCCGACAAGGGTACGGCCTTCACCCATCTGTTTTATGGATGAAATCTACTTCGTATGAAATTCAACGTATTAGGAAATAATCCGCGAGTGGGTTGGCTGAAAAAATTCTGGCCAGAATATTTTTGTCTTAACTAGCTTCTCCTTCAATTTGTGGTGTACGTCTTCAAGTGAAGGGACCTACAGTTTTACAGCGCCTCCAAACGGCAAATGCATTTTACGAGAAGTTTTTCATGGCAGAAATACACTCGGAGGATTGCCATTGTTTGCCGAGGGGCGGCCGCTGTTAGAAAAAAGCTTCTTCCAATTTAGATGTTGCTTGGGCGAAGGATTGAACCCAGGTCCTCCTGAGTGGTTGTGCGCACCTTGGGCCACTTAGCCGCACCGTGTTATTTTTGGTCCTCGGTTGGTTTCAACTTTTACTAATTTCAACAAAGTTTGTTGAGACCAAACGAAAAGGTTACGAAAATCGCATTCTTTTATGGCTTTAAACAGTAAGGCAACAACAAAAGCAAAACAAAAAAAATTAAAGAAACTGTTAACCCAAATGAAGTGACTAGTTTCAAAGGAAGCGGAAATGACTTGGCGAAAAGAAAAAAAAAACATGGCAAAGGAAGAAAAGAAAAGCAAAAAAAGGAAAACAAAGAATAAACATTGCAGAGCAAAGGCGTTACAAGGATTCAAATTGATTTTTTTTTTAAACAAAAGAAAAAGAAACAAACAACAAATTTGTATAGCACAGACACTTTTCGTATTGAGGTCGGGACAAAAATAGAAAATAAATTTGTATGTTTGTTTGTGTGCTACAAAAGGCATATTGAAAACGTGGAAAATCAGGAAGTGCCACAAAAAAAAAAAACATACAAAATCCAACAATGCATTTTACGAAAAAACTCTAAAGAAAATTGTACAACAGCAAAAGCAACAATATGAACGTTTAACAACAATAACAACACTTACATGCTCGCCATCGGATCTACGATTAGGTTCCATCTATTTTTTTTTTTTGTTTTTCGAGATTAGCACAGAAATGATGGCGCACACAGGGGCAGTTGTTGTTGTGGTAGCAGTTGCATTGATATTTTGACATTGGTGGTGGCGACGGGATTGTCAAGTTGTTGTTGTCGTATTCAATTGTTTATTCGGTGGTGGTGGTGGTAGCAGTGCAGTGGGGGGAAGTAGGTATTTGTAGTTAGATCAAACATACATACATATTTGCGATAATTTCACTCGTTATTTGGAGATGTTTAAGGATAGAAGTTGCTGTTGGTTTCTATTTAGTTACTTTACTTAGGCGATAGATATGTAAATGACCATATTTACAAGTATATTTACAGCATCACGAGTTTCCAATCAAAGCAGCTTCATAATTGTAACACTATGTTCCTATATGTACATACATATGGTCAAAATTTTTCTCTTTAACGTTACAGTCGCACCTATATTTTAGTGTATATATATGTCTGAAACGTTGTGTAAAAACCGAAAGTTTTTCATAAATTCCAAAAGCTACATTTTATATATAGACACTTGTTTCCTTTTGTTGTTTTAAAGATAAATGTTTTAGGTGGTCTTTAACGTTAAATTTTTTGGAGGTCAGTTAGATATAACGTCCCACTTACGGAAAACTTGGCGAATCCCGTAAAGTTAAAAATTAAATTAAAGCATTTTAATAAAGATCAAGGTTCAAAGAAACTACAAAAATATTATATGTATAAACCGAAATATGCAGTCTTTAACGTTACTTCCCATACTCTACAATATATTATCCATTTTGATCGCATGCGATGGACAAGAGAAATGAACGCGGACCGCATACATTGGATGTCAATCGGCACTTTTTTCTAGATGCCTTAAAATGTATATCAAAAAAATATAGCAAGAGTTGACGGGTGAGTCAAAGAAATATTTTTTTTTTCGCCCGTTCCACGTTCCCAAAATTTGGACCATATGTACATACCTATGGCTCGATTACAGATGACAACCGAACTTCAGTTGGGTTACCAGTGGCTGAAATGGTAATGCAAATGGCGACTGGTAACTGAAAGCTGGCAACTGACTTGCTATATTAGCAACTGCCTTTTTGTGCTTGCGGTGGAAATTTTAATTGAGATTTATTTTTTTAAATAGCTTATTTACACTCAAGCTTTGGTTCAAAATTCTTATAGTCGCGATTCATAATATATGTATATACATTTTCATTTCAGGGCCGTTGCATATCGGTAACACAACTCAGGTTACGTAGCAACCCATAATCGGTATAAATAACGCTATTTTACGAAATGAAAACTACATTTTTATAGCAGTTTTTACCTAATTTGGGCCATTTTATTTTTCCAAAAAAAGCGTAACTCAGAAAAAACATAGTAAACACGTTTTTCGATCGAAAGCGTTTATTACATGTTAAATTAGGGTCACACTGATAATCTGACGATTTTTTTCCGCAGTTGTAAATTTGTTTCAATAGACTTTTTTTTTTGCTAGTGTTTACATTCGTAAGTTATTTTATACTGGGGTCCCACAGACGTATACAAATACTAGGTGGCTGTGTGCAAATTACGTTAGCATTCTTAAATGGTGGTCAAACCCCAGGAAGGTTTTGCTCCATCGCATCGCAATGTTTTCTACACAGGGTTAAAGTTCCCCCCCCTTTTTGATAAAAATTAGTATTATTCTTCATTACATTTGGCTACCCTTAGAAAAATTTGGCGCTTAATATTTTAGTGGAAATTCTCACCATCTATATAAGCCAGTTTTCAAACAGTGGGTCAAAAAGGCCCGTTCTGGTGGCAGTTGATGGAGAATAAAAGTCAGCAAGACGGACGTGTTTTTTATCGCTCTGGTTCTGGTGTTAAAAAATATAACAATATTGCAAAGTGTAAAGTTAATAGTTGCATTATTAATATAATTATATAGTTTTATTACTATTTAGAAAATTTTTGGGTATGCAGTTTTATAGCCCATAGAATTTTAGTATGATAAAGTGCATGGTTCCAGTCGCAAAACTCGCGTTGATTTTGGATATATATTTTTTTTTTCTGGTGCTTTTGCGATTTTTATTAATAACAAGTGCAATTTATAAAAACTGGCATTGATTTGGACTTTTTTAGAACGGTCTTGCGCATTCCTTAAGAAATTCGTGGTTATAAAGAAACAAATAAAGAAGTAACTACGACATTTCCAAAAATACTGGATTAAAATTCTTGAAAGTTGGTTTTCGAAGTAGAATTTTGGCATAAAATAACCAAGTTATGCAATTTTTGGAAAATGGGCGTGGTACCGCCCACTTATGAAGAAGTGCTATATCTCTGTATTTCCTTCACCAATACCCACCAAACTCAGTGCGAATATTGCTCACTAAGGAATCCGCTGAAAATTTTTGAAATCAGACAAGAACCACGTCTACCTCCCATATAACGGAAATTTACAGAATATCGAAAACTGCGATAAATAAGTAACTATTTAAACCGATTTACTCAAAATCGATATATGTATGTATGCAACAACCCCTTAGCGGAAAATGATATCTAGAGAAATTTTTGGAAAATGGCGTGGTATCGCCCACTTACGCCTACATATGTGTATCTTGGTACTCGGTTTATCAATTTCTAAATCGGACTAAAATTACCGTCACTTACCACATAACGGTAAATTTCAGAAATACGGAAACCCCGATATTTCAATAACTAACTTACAACAATCTCTTAACAAGACGTAAGATTATTGATTTTTGTAAAAAGGGCGTGACACCACCCACTTATGACTACATAAGTTATCGCTAACCGCCTTATCGATTTCCAGCAAACTTGGTCCAATTATTTCAACATACCGTTGTTTGACATTGGGAAAAATACTCTTCTTCATCATGCAAATGGATCGGGTACATAAAGTTCGGTTTCGCCCGAACTTATACTTCTTTACTTTTTTTTTTTTTAACTTCGTCCATCCGGCCGGTTGTGGATTAAATAACAACTTTAATCGAAGGTGGAAATATTAAAAAGAGCCATGCCCGTTTCTCAAAAAATGGCTGTTTTCGAAAATGCGAAAAGGCGATAATTTTCGTGAATTCGCACTCCGTTTCGCTCGAACTTATGCTGCATTTCCACTAGGCATTACATGGCAAAAATGACAAATGACAAATTTTTGGCATTAAAAGTTATTACGTTTAAAAAAGTGTCATTAGGTTCATTTCCACATAGCATTTTTTTAAATGGCTTATATTTTTTGTCATTTCAATGCCTAGTGGAAATCCGGCAATTAATTCATGTCTACATGGCATTTTTGAAATGCCTCCAATTTTTTGTCATTTCAATAGGTCTTATGAATAAAGAATAAGTAATTGCTTTTTCTTAAAATTTCACACCTTTTTACTAAAATTTGTTTGAATAAATCGAGTAAAAGGTCTGAAATTTTAAGAAAAAGCAATTGCTTATTTTTTACTCATAAGGCTTAATGCCTAGTGGAAATTCAGCATTCGACTCACCGCCACTAGATCCTTTTCGAGTGTTATTACCAATCTGACGGTTTTTGGACGATTTGCTCCGATTTCCTTACTGTACATATTTTTCTTATAAACCTATTAACCACATTAAGAAAATAACTTCTGAAATAGTGTGTTAAAAAAAAATTTAAAGTTGAAAGCCATTTAAAAATACAAGTAACTCCTTCTAGGGAAACGTTTAAAATGAGCAACTTGTTTTCAACTCTCTTCCCTCTTTGGAAATGTACAACAACAACAATTAACGCAAAAATGTGAACAGCATTATAATCCAAGCAGAAAATATTTAATAAAACGCTATGCAATACAAACAATATAAATGTAATCACCTGATCTTCAATGGTTCGATGATCTGTCTCCTGCAACCAAGTACCCAAAATTATAGAATCGTCTCCATGGCAGAGTGCGCGCAGCAAAGAGTTCGTTGTATTGGCTGGATTTTCAGAAAGCGTGAACTCGGCCACCAGCATGCGCAGCAGATGCGTGTACGATGACTCCAATGCATTAGGCGGCAGCAGCGAAAGCGTTTCATATAGTCTTAAACGGACCATAGCCGCTGGGGCCTTCAATTGCGTGCCATAGCTTTTCAATACTGGTGAGAGGCTGTACAGAATGCAAACAACATAAAAGAAAGGGGGGCGGGGGGTTTGATTATTTAACACCTAATTATACGACTATTCTCTATGTTTTCTATTTTTACTCACTTCACCAGCATGGCAAGCGCACTTTCGATGGGCGTAAGCAAACGCCGAGTTATATCCTCGGTCACTAGATCTGGACAATTTAGCAGGAAACTGTGCATTACTGAGAGTGCACCGGCACGACCCTCTAATGTTACTTGCCAGGTAAAAGCATCACCTCTCGCCTTCTCCGATTCGAGCTCCTTATTTGAACGTGGGAAAGAGTTACGCCATAACAACAACATACGTGGCAGTAAGCCCTTAACCACCGGCGAACCGAGCGTCATTATGGCTCCAATCAACAGCCAACCCGCTTGTGTACGATTCAGGGACATACGACTATTTTGCGATGCGGAGCGAAGTAGTTCTTCAGCTGTGTTGAAGACCACTTTACCTTTGGTATGCGGTATGCCGAGCGGCGAATAGCGCACGCTTCCCAAGATAGCAGCCAAAGCTGCACTATACCCAGATATAGCTTCTGGTGAGGAACGCATCTGCTCGATGGCGTCGACGAAACGATCGATTAACGGTGTAATTTGACTGGGCACCGCCACGCAGAAGCAGCGCAAACACCAGGCGGCCGCAAGGCGCGCTGCTGAGCACGGATGCACTAGCACTGCGCATGTTGCATCAATAGAGTTTAATGTATGATCATGCAATAAACTTTGCGCTGTGGTGCCCAAGCCGAGCACAAGCGATCCCAACTCTTGTAGCGCACATACCAATAGGTGTTGACTGAAGAGTGTTTCTTGATTCGAGTCCTTTGCATTTTCCGGATTGAAGTCGATCGAATTCATTTGCTTGGCTATAATATGTATGAGCTCCTTGCATGCGGATGTTTGCGCCTTCTCACCAAGCATTTTGCCAATAATCGATCGAAGTATAAAATTGATGCACTTGCGTGAATAGACAGCGTCCACATGTGACGAAGCAGCCTTTGGATTGGCCACCAAGTCGAGTACATGCATCAGAAATGTGCTTAGATTGCGTTCCAGCCATACGCTGCCCATGAATTGCACGAACACCACGTATGAGTGAGTGACACCGACACGCACCTCACGATTTACGCTCGAACTGCCTTTGATAATCTCGCCGGTGCCCTTGAGGAATGAGACTCCACCGCGCAAAAAGCCAGACATTAATATGCCCAAGGCTTCGTCTAGTGAGACGCTGCGCGCCTGATTCTTTGTTGATATGGGTTGAACCGGTTTCTTGTTTGCGCCACCTGGTGGCTGTTGCGTGAAAGCCAGCAGCGTACCAAGCAGCTTGGCGACCGCGCATCGTACCTCATAATTGCTGCCATCAAAAGCGCGAAAACATAACGAAGCCAAACTCTCGAGCTCGCTTTGATAGAGGAACGGTGCGTGATTGATCATTTCGAGCACACATTTAGCAGCTGCAACACGCACTGCCATCACGCGATCCGTGAGACAATGTTTTGTTGCTTTATAAATGTCCTTGTGCACATTTGAGATGGCGGTGCCCATGCCAGCGCAAACCTAAAATGCAGAGACATTTTTTTGGTAAAGTCAAGGCACGATAAAGGAGTTTAGAAAAGTAACAAATTTAATACTAAAATATTGCATGTGCGTTTTGTTTACCTTTTCCAATGTAATCATGATTTCGGCACGAGCCTGCGATTCAGCATTGCGCAGTGTGCGTATGAGTATCTGAACCGTTTCCTCATAGGAGCGACCCATCATACGACCGAGTTTTTCGTACATCGAACCCAATACACAAATTGCAGCGCTGCAAGTGGTCAGATAAGAAAAAGAAATGCGACTCATAGAAAATCATTAAAAAGTGGGAAGCAAAAGCTCCGAGGGCGAGGGCTTATATTCGATACCCTCTATCTGCACTTTTCACAAAAATGAGATTCTGATACAAAAATTCACCTAAGTCTTAACTATCATCGGTAATGCTAATGCTGACCTTATATAACGCTTGACAGAAGAATTTACTATTAGATTGCAAAGTCAGAAATAACATCAGTGATGACGGTCAAGTCCCACAGATAGGTTCTAACATCACAAAGTAGATTTTGTAAAATTGCAGATAGAGGGTATTGAATATGAGCCCTCGAAGCATAAGATAACTTACAGTTTTGTTGGTAAATAGCTGGGTGAATCATCTTTATTCTTTAGTATATCATTGCACGCATTCACCGTGTCGAACAGCATAAAAGTATCGCCTACAGAGAAAAGAGTCGCCAAGCAGCTGGCTATTAATTTGCGCGTCGGTGGACCCGGTGAACCCTGAATATGCTCGGTCAATTGCTGCACCAACTTTTTTTGACATCCTTTGATGTCCGATTTCTGTGCAACTGGCAACACTTTTTCCAAGTAGCGAAGCCATTCGAAAACAAAAACTGGTCGCTTTTGCTCAGGCAATTGTTTAAACGCCTCCTCATTGAGCGTCAAGCTATGTGATAGCTCCATTTCATCGATGTAGGGCTCTGTATCGGCTTCGTCGATGTGACTCGAATCGTGATCGTCGCTGCGGATAAATGATCTGCAAGAAAAAGTAAAAAATCTAATTACAATCAAGAACGATAGATATGCACATATTTGATCCATATATAAGAATTTTGGACTTGGACTTGGATTTTAACTATCGTCAAAAATACGTGGCATACCTTAGGAAAAGTTAACTCGAAAAAACTCTCTCGGAAAGAAACATGTAGTATTTGACAAGATGACTTACTTACGCTCAGAGTATGACATCTTCGGATAGGGAGGATATATTATCAATGATTAACGTAGTTTTAAACTATAAAATCTTTCCTTTCGAATAGCAGAAACTACTCTAAAAAATATTAAACAATTATCCAGAAATGGACCTTGTCTTACAACATTCGAATGCAATTGGGTATGGTTCTTGCGGGGAATGCGGTTCGATTTGCGAGGCTCTTCAATCCATGAAAGAAAGTTTGATGTCGAAAAGCTGCAGTCACAACGGCCAGCCGAAAACATTTTTTAACCGGCTCTCAATCCTGCTTAAGTAAACACCTTTTCATCCTCAAAATATAAATGAGCAACATAAAAAGTTATTTACCCTGCAGCCCTTCAGAGATGGGAGTAGAGAAGACGCCTTGAAAAAATAATAGAGAGGCAAAATGTCGTGCGAAGAACTACCGATTCAGCACGAATGCGACTGGAATATTCTATTAGAAGAAAATACAGCAATCAAATGACTACAAGAATGGTGCCAACTCTAGCCGCCATTGAGATATTGGGATGGGAATGTGGTAACAGACGTTAAGAGTACATTTTAGATATGGATCAACAGTCTTTAGCGCTTTTGGTACAGGCGACTTTGGGTCAATGATCACATCGCTACATTTGAACTGAACTGGGAATAGTGGAAAACGAATAGTTGTACTTGTAGTTAAGTGCCATTTAGTCAGATGAACACACACTCGCAGATTGGACATATGATGTACATGCCGTGAGAATGAAAGTAGCCTATCCACAAAAAAATTAAACATATGAAAAAAATATGTATGTATAATCAACGATTATTACAGCTTTCTTTTGCTAGCTATGAGATCATAAATAAATTAAACGTGGGTTACTTCAGTTCTAAGTAGGGCTCGGAATTTCATGCGCTGAAACATCGAAAATATGAACATTTAATGTGTACTCAAAATTCAAAAATATGCGCTATAAAGAAGAAAAATATGCAGTTAAAAGTATTTTCCTAATATTTTATTGCCGGTAACAAACAATTAGCAAGTTTGCCATTTTGATTCCACAACTCGTACAAACTACAGCCATTTGGCAGCTTTAATGAATTTCTGTACGTCATGCAGAGAGAGGCAGCTGCACTCTAAAACATTGTGCAGGAATGGCTTGACGAGTGTCTTCAGGTTCATCCTTGCGAGGGCTGGACACTTGTACAGGAAGTGTTCGACTGTCTCTTTTGAATCAGAGTCATCGCAACTGCGACAGAACCTGTTGAAGGGCAATCCAATCCCTTTCGGCATGTACCCAAACGAGCAAGTACTCCGTACACACTGCAGTAAGTTTGTAGGTATCTTCTCTGCTCATTCTTGAGAGAGTTTTGATTTTAAGTGGGTCGTAGGATACCCACAACTGCCGGGTAATCCTGTATGATGCGGTACAGTTCCCCCTCAGCTTGGCCTTGATAAATTTCGGTAATTTTTGAGCGGGACACATTCACCTTGTCCGCTGTCTCGTTTCCGTAAATGTCCCTATGTTCCAGGACCCATATTAGGATAATTTTGCATTGATCAGAGACATAGGCCAGCTCTCTCCTACAGACCTCCACTAGTTGCGATCTAACAGAGGTACAATAGAGATCCTTAATGGCCGATTGGCTATCCGAGAAGATATTCAGATGGGCTCCGTGTATTAAGACCGCGATCCAAAAATGAAATAAGGCCGCGCGGTAATAATTCATTTTGGCAAGTGAAGTTAGGCCGCGACCAAAAAATGAAATTAGGCCGCCAAACAAATAAGAAGGCGGCCTTAATTGACGCGGTCAAAATTCCATCCCCCATTCAGATGGATATTTGCGAACAAGTTTTAGGTAAGAGATTTCGCACTAAATTTAAATGCAATAAATATGCAAAAACAGATATTTTTGCAAAATATGCACCAAAAATTTAATGCAATTTTAAAGGAAATTTCATGATTCGTAAAGATAACTTAACCATTTCCATTTGAAGATGCCCAATAAAAACATGCATTTGCATGATATTCCGAGCCCTAGTTATAAGCAAGACCTTCTTTCTACTCTGGTTTCATGGTCCCATATGTACTTTTGCATACAAATATGCAACACACACAAAATGTACTCTTATAGAATACATATTTACTAAATATAGTAAATAAGTTAGGCCGATCTGTTGTGTACTATGGTTTTCGCAATGCCAAGGTTACTTTATCATCAACGCCGCTAAAAGCATTGTTCATACACTTCAAACACAAAGCGATATGTCATAGAATACTTGCACATTCAATTTAAATTTCGATGCCAATTAAATATGCTTATTTACATATACATAGTACGTGTGTCTGTCCTTTGGTCGGTCTGCCCATATTTCATACTAAATACGACGAATGCATAAACACGTGAGTCATAGGATGTGCGAATGAAATGAGAGCAGTGCGGAACAACATTGAATTTCTGCGTATAAGATGATGTACCTATATACACTTGTGGTCAGCTGATTAAGTTAAGTGACATTTTGACCAGTTTTGGCAACTTTCCTTTTGTCTATTTAATGTTTTTAATTTTAAAATAAAAGTTTAGCACTTTACATAACAGGCACCACATAAATCGACATTTCAAACTTCTTAAAAAAAAATTCAACAGACTTTAAAAATTAAAATTAAAATAAACAAAAATTGTATATTTATTATTAAAATTTTTTTTGGAAAATTTTAGACATCTATACAATTTTATAGCCCATTAAATTTTAGTAGGTTAAAGTACAAATTTTATAGTTCGTTTCCACTAAGCCTTAACTGCAGTTTATGCCTATTGGAAAAGTGAGATTACAGCAATCGAAACCAAAAAAGCAGTGAAGTAAGAAATAAACTTTGCTGATCACTGTATGTTAACGTTATTTGCACTTACCTGAACTCTTAACTGCAGTTAAGCTCTTGGTTGAAATGGGCTATTAGGGAAAATAGCCAAAACTGGTCAAAATGTCATTTAACTTAATTAGCTGACCACAAGAGATGTACATACATACATATGTCCATGTTTAGATTGCTGATGTTTTTGAAAGTATGCAATTAATTTAAAATACATTTTTCTTTAGGTGCGTTGAATACAATTCGCACCGAAAATTAGCCTTTAAATGGACCTACGAGGATGTTGAACCGACTTGTATTACGCAGCTATAGGCCGATCCATTCTTTTAGATTAGAGAATTTATTCCAGTTAGTTGTTGTTGTATTATATTATTTTGTATGGGTTAATTCAAAGCGGGCCAATTAACATGTTGGAGTGGTAAATCATTTCGATAAAATCCGAAGAGGTACTCTTTTATCGCCAACATCTGATTTTCGACATTTAGTTGATTCGTTAATCTAATGTTGGAGAAGATAATACAAGATCGTACGATTGCTGGCGTATGCCGATATCATCGACATCATCTCACTAACAAAAACCGCGAGGTCTGCTCTTTTCCAAGTCGGATAAGGAAACAAAGCGAATGGGTTTGGCGGGGAATGAGGAACAAACGAAGTATATCCTGTCGTCACACAATCAGTCAGCGCATCCGCGCCTCGGCATCCACTCACTGTTGACAGTTATAATTTCGAAAAGGTATAGAATTTCGTTTATTTTCAAATCAGCATTGAGGGAGGTGTTGCTCATTTTCTCCATACAAAAAAAAAAATACTTTGGATGGAAGAAAATGCGCGAACAAAAATTGCCAAAAATCAACGTTAAATCGAAGCTACTTCAAACTTGCATTTTATTATGCTAAAATTTAATGGCCTAATCAAAAAAAATCTGCCAAATTTGATTAAAAAATTTCAAATTTTCATCAACATTTGTTAAAATTCTTCGAATTTTTATAAATGTTCTACAAAGTTTGAAATTTCGATTTATATAAACATTAACATACATATATACTTTCATAAAAAAAAAATAATGAACATTTTTTAAATTAAGAAAAGTAGCCAAAACATTTCTCTATTTACATTTAGTCAATCTAGGACGCTAAAATATAAAAAAAAAAATGCTTGAAAATCGATCATATTTTGTAATTTCTTAGAAAATATCCCAATTGTTACGAAAATACGCATAAAAGAGAATAAAAGAAATATCATAGGTTTGATAACAGCTATCAAACGCGTGCTTTTAAACAGCCTGCAAAAACAAATTTGGTAGTTTGGATCGATAACCAAACTTTGAGTGATCAAATTGAAGTTGTGCGCGTTTTTTTTTTGGCCAAAAAGTTTTTTTTTCACTAAAAAGTTTGGGTGTACACGACCCTTATGTTTGCACTAAAGTATTTTAATAAAATTATTTTATAATCAGCTAAAAGGTAAGACGAATTTCAAAAATCTTTAATCCTTCATAGACTATAACTTATAATAAGTTCGGCTATGACAAAGCATACAAGATGAGCTTACATACTCATGGAAGAGACTTAAAAATAAAACCTTGCCCATTTTTTGCCCAAAGGATCTAAAATGCAATCCTGTGGAGTTAGTCGTCCGTAGTAGAAAATAAACTCTCACGCCTAAACGAAAAACCCTAATGAAAAACTCCAGAAAAAATATACTCCCACTAGTCTTTTTTGAGATAGTTCGGCCATTTTGGTATAAAAAAAAGGTCCTATTAACCTATATTTCTTAATTTATATACATATGTCATAAAATTTTTTTGGTTTTACTCCGGAAAAAATTGTCCGTAACTAGTCTTTTTGTTGGGGATAGTTCGGAACTAGTCCTCTTTGAGACTAGTTGGAAGTAGTTATGCATAACCATAATGAACCTTATGTTCTTCTTAAAAATCATGGCAAATCTCAAGTTGATATCTCTAAAACTTTGGCTAAAATTAAGCTGTGTACCTTTTGTATAAATTAGACACTTTTTTATTTTATTTATTTTGTAATCTACATTAAATCTTTATTCGTGCATTTAATCAGACTTACAATGGTTTACAGTTCAGATAAGTCACATAGCTGTATATAAAATTAGCACTAGGCTTTTTAATTATGAGTTAATAAGAGTTGTTGTTATAGGCCCATCCGATAAAAATAAATTACGGAAAGATTAAACTGTTTTATATTAAACAAACAACATATAAATTAATTATTTCGGTAACACTTCCATTACATATATGTACATATGTACATACACATACAAACATACAATGTACTTACTTACTACATACCACGATCAATCGACTTTTGAAAGAATTTAATGGCATATGATACCGTTTTCTACCAAGCATGCGCTAAATTGGAAGTCACATCTTTATATAATAAATAATATTGACCGAACCGGAATTGTAAAAAGCTTTTAGGATTTTCAGAATAAATATGTATGTATGTATATAAATCATCTTATCATCAAGAATTTAATCTTTCCGAACAGTTGTTGTAGGAAAACGCTGTAGAAACAGGAGTCGGTTTTTTAATTAGGAAATTTTGAAAGTTACCGTTATATAACGGTATTATCACACCACTTAGCACTGAGCTAAAGATGTATGAAGTGAAGAAATAGTTGCAGTAGTTCTTGTGACAACAAATGAGTCCGAAATACATATTTACATATCGACACATGACATGAAAAAAGCCGTAACTAACAAATTTATAATAATAAAATAATGTTGTGACTTGTAATTCGATGAAATGCATCATAACAGGTCGACAATCACAAAAAAAACCAAAAAAAAATTGGTGACGAGATATCGTTAGTGGTTTGTTATTAGATGTGCATTGACAAATTTTTTTATTTTTTTTCTTACGCGTAGCTTTGAAAAATAACTTAAGTTTTCTATTCTGGCTGTAATCAATACTTTGGTGTGCGCATTTGGAAGTCTTATCAACGGTACGTTTCTATAAATAAATTGATTTTAATATTATCATGTCTTTGGTGAATATTTTTTTTTAATTTTTTAATTTTTGCACAAAGCTGAAATTTGGAATTATTATATTAAAAAAATTAACAACCATTAAACAAACAAAATAAAGATCATTGAAACTGGTAAAAATATCGCACTCCTGTGTATGTATCCAGATTTTGAGCAAAATTTATGTGCAAATCAAAATCTTAATAAGTATAAATTGTTTTTATTTATGTAATCAATATATATGAAAATAATAATTACAGCTCATTGGCATCAAAACCACTACTATTGACCGAAGTAATCAATCAAAATGTGAATTTTGGATTTTTTTTTTTGGTTAGTTACGGCCTTTTGCGTTTCGAAGAAGACTATGCATTATTACGTATTTGTAGTTAAAGTAATGCACTCGCTTATTAGAAAACGATATTAAAACTTTAAATTTAGTTAAATTTAGGCGAAGCATGTAGTGCAAGGATCTTCGATTTTAAAATGATTTAAAAATTTAAATGAGCAAAATAGGTTTTCATTAAATTTGAAGTGATATGCAAAAAATATGTAGTATTTCTCATTTACTTTGCTTGTGTATACATACACATACATATTTAGTTAGATTAAAGAATAGAACTGCACAAAACTATTTTTCTAGAATACAAAATAAAATGTAACTTTATGCTTACGAACTAAATTCAAAAACTGTATACATATATATTAGCAAAATATGGCTGTGTGTATATCCACATACCAACACACACATAAATCTTGACCATTGTAAATGTAGTGTTAGCGTAGTGTAGGATGCTGCTTAGCTTAAATTCAGTGCATAAAAAATAGCTTCTAGAAGCCTACATACATACATACATACATACATATTATGTACATACATATGTACTTGGATGTACATACATTAATATCGCTTATCGTAATAACGGCGCTTAAATATATTTGAAACATTTTTGCTTGTCGTGCGGTATTCGCGTTTTAAAGAGTATTGAATCGGCGCGGTATTGTGTATTCAATAGTGGTGTGTAGCCGAAAACCTGCACAAAGAAATTGATGCATTTATGGCGCTCTTGGAAATGTGTGTCGTCCTCGCTGAGCGACACCGGACATCCGGGGCAGCGAAAAGTCCAACGTGACGTCACTTTTACGGGCGGCTTACGTGTTATGTGCGAGACCAAGAAATTCATGGCAATATCCTCACAGTTCATATACTCATCCACCTTGTCTCGTATCGCCTGTGGCAAGTGGTATGTGTACAAATACATATAATATTTGTGTATGAATGCGGCACCCGTCAGCACCATGCTCAGCTCGCAACTGTAATTGGAATTGTAGTTCCAATTGCGATTGGAGTTCAAGTCCCAGGCTAGAAATCGCCCCGGGAAGCCTACAACACGATCACGATGCTCACGCCAAACTCTGAAACCGAATAAAATCTCATCGTGTCGCAAGTGTGCATCGTCATCCACCGACAGCACTGCCTCAGTTTCGATAACGTCGAAGGGTAGGAAACGATTATTCAGCGAGTTGCGCGGTGCACGTACCACAGCCACTGGCACACCAATGTCGGGCCAACGCAAGTCATCTAGCGGTGGCTTTGGTGAATTCCAAACTACCACGACCTTGTGCAAATATGGCAAGCCATAGAGGCGGCCAAGAGAATCCATAAGTACCTGCTCACGCTCGTACGTAAGTATTACGATAGTGAATTGTTCGCGTGGATAGTTGCCGCCTAGTGCTTCGCTGAACTCTTTTCCGGCGCCACCACTGCCTTTACCGATCGGACGAAAGCCCATGTGGGATCCAAGGAATTTAGCGTCTGCGGGTAGTACAGGGTCAAAAGGTAGTTGTGGATACATGTAAAACGGATCAACCCAATCATTCCAAGCTTCACTCGATTGCGTACGTAAAATTGTGTAATTACGCCTGTATGTAGGACTGGGATACGGTGGTTCGATGGGACCCAACGATTCCTCCGGTTCTGTATCTAAACCAACTGGCGGATCCGATTTGAGCGGTATAAATGTGTTGTTGAACACGCTTTGTGCGACAATCGGTGACACTGGGCGCGGTGGTATGCCAAGACGATCACGCAAACTGGCAATGATTGTGTCCACCGTAGCTTGCACCGAACTCAGATAGCGCTCCCAAATCAGTCGACCTTGACGCCGCATTTGCAAGAGATCAGCATCCTGCACGGCACGCAACAGGAAATGCAGTTCGGTAATGCGCGCTTTAGGCAGCAGTAGTGCTAGTCGCCGCCAATCGATAGTTTCTGCATAAGGCAGACGAACTTCGTCAGCGCCGAGTATGACAGGTATGGCGCCGGACCTGAGCGCTTCATATAGGCGCGCTAACATCAGTGTAGAGCTTATCCTTTTCTCCAATGGCGGAAGAATCAGCACGAATGTCGACTCTTTGAGTATGGATTTGCGCGAAGAGTCCGTACCGCAAAGTGCCCAATCCACAAAAGCTACTTTGTCCGATTGCTCCGTGGCTGGCATGCATGTGAATTGCAACAGGAATTTATCTTGAGTGGCGCCTTTGGCCATCTCCGCCAGATGATCCAAAATAAAGTCGTCTAACGGATGCGACTGCACTGTTTTGTCAGCTGGGCGTAATTCGCCTTGAAAAGATAACAGATATGTGCGACGCGCTGGCACCATCAGCGCACATTCCTGCCAGACATCTCCGCCAGGTGGCCCCAAAATTGGTGGCACAACTATATCATAATTCGGGCGAAATTGTAGCAATTCAAATGTGGACTGCACAACTATTGCACGCATTGTGTTTTGATTGATAAAAGCGTTTGTGCGCGTAGAATGCAAATCACGACGCGCCAAATTGAGTAAAACGTGATTCCGTCCATCGCCACCCCAGTACGGCAACCGGTAAAGTTTATCCAAGTCAATGGGCAGGTCATCACTTTTAGGTGATTGCACGGCGGCTTTGTGTTCTTCCTCTTCAGCTGCATATCGATTGTTCTTCAGCAAATCATTTTCCAACATAGCTTCGCCAACGAGCACCAGGAATATACAAGCCAGTCTGGGTTCCTGCACAATGTGTGCATTATAGCCGAGAGTTTGTTTAATCGTGGTCTTCAAGAATCCATCGATATCGTAACCAGTACGCAACACGCTATAGGCGTCTGGATCATATAGGTACACAGGAAAACCAGACGTGAGACTACAGCGCGAGTGATCGAAGCAATTGTGCATTTCGCAGGGCAACGCTGCGGCTGCAGTTATTGCAGGCATTTTGCGCGGCAACACATAGGGATATAAAGTACGAGGCAAAGCTAAGTCGGGTGTGTTGCGTTGGACGGCTTCACGTTGGGCCACTTGCGCTTGCTGTACCGAGATTTTCAAACGTTCCAGCTCGGTCTGTTCACGCATTAAATTTTGCTTCAAGTCCTCAATTTTTTGGTTGTATCCGCCTATATCGGCTTGCAATTTTTGTCGGCGCGACTCCAATTCACGCAATTCCACCGAAACCGTACTTTTTATGCGCAACATCTCTTCTATACGCATTTTCAAGTCGCTGGCACGCATCGAACTAAAGTCCTCGTAAGCATTCAGCAGCGGTCGGCTGCGATGGACATCGGTGGTGGGCACATCGTTGGCAGGATTTCGCAAGTTGCGTTGAGCGAATAGTGGCCAAAGTAGAAGCAGCAGCAATACAAGAAGCAACAATTTATAGATGCGTTGAAAACGAAACCAGGCAAAGCTCATTATGTTGCTACCACCGCCTGCAGCTCCACTGCAAGCACTACCTCCCGGGCAGCAGGACCGTGCGGCACAATGCTGATTGCTTGTTAGCTGTGTGTAAGTCGAAGTTGTTTCCAAACAGCTGTTGGACATCTTCCACGACAAGTATCAACAAATGATCCGCCTAAAAAATTACAATTTTGTCAGGTGGAGCATTTATGAAGTGCGTACATAAATTGTACAATGTTGAAGTAAACTTAAACATACACGTAAGTAAATACATACAAATCTTAATAGAACAGAGTTTAAAACAATTCAATGGCAATTAAATAACTAAAAAAACTGGGATAGCTTTTAAGCGGCTCTTAGCGACACAGAACTTCTCGGCCAAATTTTGCAAATTTTCTCAAAGTATGAAAGTAAGCAACAAGTCCGCTCTTAGCAAAGAAGAATTACACTTTAAACTTGTTTACTACGCGCCTAATAATAATGCGTTGTTCGGATAGGTGGGACATACGAGATGAGGACTCCTCCCGTCCTGAACGTATGAGCTGCAGATAGTTAGCCTTGCGTTGGTAGAATTGGTAAGGACTCAACCTCTTTCACGAACAGCGGAAGCAACACTGTGTAACCTTGCCTCTAGCTGGTCCTAATTGACAATCGCACATAGTCGCATAAAATAATCCATAAGTTTCATATCACACAGCCGGAGAGGCCAGTGCTTCGGTCCTTCCCTGTTTTATATGCCTTTACAACTGTACAGTGCTGCAACGAGTTCAATAAACTTCGTCAATTGTCGCACTCCACTAAGCGATCATTTCTATCATCGACCATACGAAAAAAAAAGGATCAAACCAATGCAGGTAATACTTTTGAAGCATTTTATTGTCAGAAACATGAATGTGTAAAAATTAAAATTTTGGGAAATCAATTTTGAATGATTCTTTTTACGGGACTTAAGTCTACATTAACATCAATATAAATATCAGTCAGCCTTGAAATCCAACGGAGAATCACTCTTGCTAACAAGTTCTACTTTGGACAGAGTAGGGAAATGAGGAGTAAAGTCCTCTCTCGTCGTACAAAAATCACAGCTCTGAAAGAAAGATCAGATGGAGAAGGACTTGGGGCTTCACTTGGCATTTCCAAACGACTGGCGCGGAAGGCGATATATTTTACTCTACGTCATTTCACATTCCGCGATCAAAAGCCCCGCTCTAAGAACAAGACAGCAAACCACATACATATAAAAGTGCTTTTGAGTTCACAAAAAAATGCAAATTATCTGGATATTTTATAAGGTTAATGTTAAAAAAAAAAAAAAAAAAATATCTCAAAATAAAGTGATTGCGATTTCAAAGGGGTTTTCATGGCAGAAGTACACTCGGAGGTTTGTCATTGTCTGCCGAGGGGCGGCCGCTGCTAAGAAAAAACCCTTTTTCTTGGTTTTTTTTTTGCGATATTGTTTGACCAGGGCTTGAACACCACAACGGCCGACCGACCATACATTAATATGTAGTAGTATGTAAATTCCAGTATATCGCCATTAAAAAGTGTAGAATACTTGAATGTTTATATGTAAATACATCAATTATAAAACAAAAAGCCATGAAAAAGAGCTTGTATATGCCCTTTTAAGCTTACACCCAACATAGTACAATTATTTTACCATCGTAGATTTAGCAAAGTGAATGAAAAGCAAACACGATGAACATTACGTTTACATACTATATACATACATACATATCAGAATATATGTATGCTTATCATACACATACGGTCAGGCTTGTGTGTATTAAACTAGAAACTAAATCCCGTCTCAATTAATCGTAACATCCTACAGCAACACTATGCGCTTTATAATGTGTTAATATGTAAGTGAAAATGTGTTGATGCTTTTATGTGATTATTAAAAAAAAAGTCTCAAAACCGAAATTATGCCACTCACTTAGAAATGCTGATAAGAATTGTGAACTAGAAACCTTTTAGAAATATGTCCTACTTGTGTGGCCACAAGTACTCTGTGCATTTAATAAATATCTATGTACTAGTTTTTAGCTGCAGTTACTTGCTCTTGTGCACATAAAATGTTGGCCTTTGACTTGAGTAGGTGGTGTTCTTACATAAGTATGCATGTATGTACATTAGGGTGCCCAGTTTTCCTCCAATTTTCTTTCTTTCTATGAGAAATATTATTATATTATTTAGAGGTCGCGCGACTTGTCAGTTTAGGTCAGAAAATACGGTTTTGTAGATTTATCAGTTTTTGAATCGAACACGTGGTGTGTTGTAGTCTGTTGTCAGACTTGGATTGTTGGGATTTTTAATTGGTCAAAATATCAAAATATTTATATTTTCTTCATTTTTTAGATTTTGACAATCGCTTATTTCCACACTTTCAAAATATGTACTACTTTCTAAATTAAATCTATTTTCAAATAAACTGATACCTCACTTATTGCTACCGCATAAAAATTGTCGAAGTTAGGCAACTTTTCTTAAATACGCCCTTGAAGTTATATGTGTGTGTGTGTATGTACCGGACTTTCAGATTTATTGAGCAGTGTGGCTAAGGAATTCATCAATATAAAAATATTCAAAATTAGTCTTTAGCACAAAAATTGGTTTTTCATAAAATTCTGGGAAAATGCGGGTGGCACCGCCCACTTATATCATATATGTATGTGTATCTCAAAACCTACTCGCTTAAATTTTTTATCTACTGTTATTACGTAGATCACTAGTCTAAAAAAGTGGACTGGATCTCTTAATGAAATATGTATTTGTTTTGTTTCGTTTGCTTAGGTATGTACATATATGCTGCGCCATAAGAAACAATAGACTATTCTTTTATAAAAAAAAAAAAATACTGGGCCGATGTGTTTTCAAGCTAAGATTTCATGATAAAAGAAACGATTCGTTATTCCATCAGTTCGAATTACCGACTTTGAATTAAACTAAAAGCCTTTTTGCGCTGTGTGGACCCTGCAAGGTATGAAATATGTATGTATCTCGAATTTAGACGCTTCGAATAATGCTATAGTCTAAACTCAAGAACTATTTAATAATGTTAAGAAGACTTATAGTTGATTTCCACCAAGCCTTAACTGCAGTTTATGCCTATTAGAAAAAGGAGATTACAACTCGAAGGGGGTAATTCCACCTACTAAGTAGAAGCAAACAAAAGGAAAAAAGCAAAAATTAAGAAATAAATAAACCGATTGCCGATCACCTCATGTTAAAATTCTTAGAACTTATCTGAACTCTTAACTGCAGTTAAGCCTTTGGTGGAAATAGGCTATTAGATTAGATAATATCCTACAGAATTGTATTTAAAAGTTCAAAAGTAGCCTTCCGACTTTCTATTTAAGCTTGTAGTATGTTCTACTATGTAAGGCGCCAGCCTAGAATACTCTGAAAAAATTAGAAAAGTGAAAATTGGTGTTTCCAGGACAGCTGAAATTATCTACATACATATACATATGTACATATCTTCACATTTCACATTTTGTAATGAAAAAGTTCAGTACTAAATGTCCGTGCCCCGTTCTCGAGGGTTTACTGCTGTCACTGATGCGTTATAATAGCAATACATATAATTAAATGCAAATATAACTCATTTTCTAAAAGACTCTTTGTCACAATGCATATTCACTTCTTATGAGAAAACTAAAAAATATTTTCGTATGGATTTTTTACCGCATATATAAAGTATGATATGTATGTATAAGCAATAATTCTGAAAAATTATCTCAAAAATTACTTATTTTGAGTTGCGACAGTCTTTTAGTAAATGCGCGATATTTGCATTTACATTAATTTTTCTTGAATGGCATAAATACCTTCTCGCTTCGGAGATGACTTTGCGCAGAAATTGCGGCGTACGTGCAAAATTCTGCAGATTCTCCATTTTCTTAAGACCAAGTTAAGTTGCCCAGGTGTTAAACGAAATTACAGCAATTGTTGTTGTTGGTGCTAATACCACAACTTTTTGACGTATAGTTTTCACTTCACCACTAAATTTTTTCACGATCACAATAATAATCGAGTATTTTTATATATTAAATTAAGATTTAGTTAATTTTATTTTCTTAACTTAAATTTTTATGTATTAATATTTGAGCAAATACATTTATTGCTTGCCCAAGCCAACAAACAAAAACGTTGATTTACGAACCACCAAGTGGCTGTGTTTGGACGCACAAATAACGGGTGATTTTTTTGAGGTTAGGATTTTCATGCATTAGTATTTGACAGATCACGTGGGATTTCAGACATGGTGTCAAAGAGAAAGATGCTCAGTATGCTTTGAAATTTCATCATGAATAGACTTACTAACGAGCAACGCTTGCAAATCATTGAATTTTATTACCAAAATCAGTGTTCGGTTCGAAATGTGTTTCGCGCTTTACGTCCGATTTATGGTCTACATAATCGACCAAGTGAGCAAACAATTAATGCGATTGTGACCAAGTTTCGCACTCAGTTTACTTTATTGGACATTAAACCAACCACACGAATGCGTACAGTGCGTACAGAAGAGAATATTGCGTCTGTTTCTGAGAGTGTTGCTGAAGACCGTGAAATGTCGATTCGTCGCCGTTCGCAGCAATTGGGTTTGTGTTATTCGACCACATGGAAGATTTTACGCAAAGATCTTGGTGTAAAACCGTATAAAATACAGCTCGTGCAAGAACTGAAGCCGAACGATCTGCCACAACGTCGAATTTTCAGTGAATGGGCCCTAGAAAAGTTGGCAGAAAATCCGCTTTTTTATCGACAAATTTTGTTCAGCGATGAGGCTCATTTCTGGTTGAATGGCTTCGTAAATAAGCAAAATTGCCGCATTTGGAGTGAAGAGCAACCAGAAGCCGTTCAAGAACTGCCCATGCATCCCGAAAAAATGCACTGTTTGGTGTGGTTTGTACGCTGGTGGAATCATTGGACCGTATTTTTTCAAAGATGCTGTTGGACGCAACGTTACGGTGAATGGCGATCGCTATCGTTCGATGCTAACAAACTTTTTGTTGCCAAAAATGGAAGAACTGAACTTGGTTGACATGTGGTTTCAACAAGATGGCGCTACATGCCACACAGCTCGCGATTCTATGGCCATTTTGAGGGAAAACTTCGGAGAACAATTCATCTCAAGAAATGGACCGGTAAGTTGGCCACCAAGATCATGCGATTTGACGCCTTTAGACTATTTTTTGTGGGGCTACGTCAAGTCTAAAGTCTACAGAAATAAGCCAGCAACTATTCCAGCTTTGGAAGACAACATTTCCGAAGAAATTCGGGCTATTCCGGCCGAAATGCTCGAAAAAGTTGCCCAAAATTGGACTTTCCGAATGGACCACCTAAGACGCAGCCGCGGTCAACATTTAAATGAAATTATCTTCAAAAAGTAAATGTCATGGACCAATCTAACGTTTCAAATAAAGAACCGATGAGATTTTGCAAATTTTATGCGTTTTTTTTAAAAAAAAGTTATCAAGCTCTTAAAAAATCACCCGTTATAAGCGCATACACATAAGAGTACAACTGGGACTGCGGCAGTGACCAGCAGAACAACAAAATTTTACTGGAACGATGTTTGCGCTGATATACTTTCTGTCGCAATCTATTTGCTATTCGCCTTTAATTCTTTGTATTTTCTTTTTTTTCAAGAGCTCCCGAAGAAATCAATAATTAATGAACGAACGATCACGATTCACATGAGGAAAAGTCAAATCGAGCAGAAAGGCAAACACATATCACTGTAACATTTGATGATAAATTAGCAATAATATAATATATGTATGCTTTTTTCTTTGTATCTTCAATATAGGTACTTTGAGCATTTTAATTTCGTGCGACTGGCAGCATAACATACTGTCATAAAATTTCAAGCCCCAACTGGTGCAAGAAGGCTTTTAACACAGGTACTCTTTCTTATACATATGGATTTGTGAATGCGTAAGATTGGTTACAACACGGCAAGAAGAATATTTTCACATTTTTTCACAAGAGAAAATTCTGTTAATGGTTTTTCACACACTACTCTTCTCACCACCACAATTTTCTTTTTTCCTATAGCGAACGCATCCGTACGCACAGATTCACTAATCCGATTCGACCGTCCATTGCCTCTTGCATCGAAAAAATGACTGGTTCGCGCTGCTTGCCTGCTCGACGGCTGAACTGCCTCTCGTTGGCTGTCTTGTTCATTCGCTCGCACCGATAATACGAGCAACTGCAAGGAAATAGTACAAGTGACGCGTTGCCACCATACCGTTCCGGAGCGATAGCTGCTGTGAAACGATTGCCATTTACACATTTAGTATATTGTTGTTGCCCAACAGCCAACAAAGTCATGTAGCGTGTTCGGTGATGCGTGCGTCCACAAAGAGTCGACTGAGGAAAACGTCAACACCCAAGTCGATTTTAGAGGCAATGTTGTGCTGTTGCTTGTTGTGCACCAAGCAAATTCATAACGAGTTTTAGGAGGCGGCGGGTGGCGCAGTATAGTGGCCCAATTTGTGGTGGTGAGTTGATGGCGGTGATGTATCCGGCTGTAGTGAGCGAAATGAGTGCGTTGAGAACATTTTTTGCTCTCATGTGTGCTGACATACATACATACACATATGTATGTATATAGTGTTGTGGGGCAAGAAACAAAAGGCAAAGCAAGATAATGAGGCTTGAGCAAGCAAGACATGACTACGGGCACCCGAGGAAAACAAAAATGTACTATTGTACAAATTGGAACATATGAAAAGTCTCCGCGGATTTTGGGGTACATTTTTTAACACAATTTACAATTTCTTGAGCTTGAGCTCACTTCAACTGTACAAAAATTGAGTTTATTGCTATTGCTATCTCCGACCTTCTGCCCTTTTTCGGGTAGCTTCATAATTCCATCGGTGTAGGACTTCGGTGGTTTATGCTCTCGGCTCTTCGGTCGGCCAATTTTTTATCATCAAGAGATTTTTGCCGAGGCCATACTGTGGATGCATTAAAACTTCCCAATCAAGTTTCCTCAATTTGTTCCGAGTTAGTGTGGCCACTTGTGGTCGCTTTTTCTTAAACATTTGGCCCCGATGTAACAGCTCATTCCTATTGGACAATTCCCGTTTAGTCCCTTCAAACACTCAATATAACCTTATTTGCCGCCAATCCAGGCTTTGCAATCATTTGCGGAGGGTCATCAGTGTATGACCATGATCACTTGTGTTGCTTATTCTCGTATTCAATCCATGAGCGACGTGCATCTTTGACATCAAAATTTCCACAACGGAATTCCAGCATTCACTTCATTCACTTACAGCATTCTCATCGTACGCTTCGTATTTCTTCAAATATTTTACTCATTTTCAAATCGATATAATTTTTTGTTCGAGTGACGAATTACAAAAATGTCGTCACTAGAAATGTAGCCTGAAATGTCACCTTTTCAACTCACGTTAGCTTAATGCAATTTTGTTAGTGTTGCCATATTATGTATGGCCATCAAGTGATAAAAATCTGCAGATACTTTGCAAATGACCCAATATATCCATATGTATGTATGTATGTACATACATACGCACAAATGTAGCTGCACACGTTTGAGAATTTTCTCATTTCATTTACCAAGAATACATGTGCATACATAGTTACATGTTTACACGCGGGGACCGACCTTTCATTGCATTTTGTCTTGTTTTTATTTACTCTTACATTTGCCAATTTTTCTCCATTTTGCTGCACGCAAGCTTCATCTCCCATGTTTATTTAATGTTTTTGTTTTATTGTTGTTCTTGTTTGCTTTCATCTCTTGATACTTTTTCCAGAGCAGAGTGCTTCTGAAAGTGTGAAGGCAAAAATTTAGTGGCATCTTTTTGATTTTAACTGGAGACAGAGGGCTTGAACTGCAATATTTCTGAAATTCTGAATTCGAAATTTTTAAATAAATATGCGTTTGCTAAATATGATCTCGTACTACATTAAATTGGGATCTTGAATATATACATATACACGTTTTTAACCCTATTTTCAAAGTGCAACGAGATTGATGTTAAGGGGTTATATCTTGGCAGATCTTTCAAGCACCAATTTGCTGGTTCTGCATTTTCAGTTAAATTGCGGTTAGTCGTGGTACTTTGTTAGGTTTTCGGAAATAAAATTTTCGAGTCGTTTTCGGAATTTAATATCGACTTTCGGAAAAAAATCACTTTAGAAAGTCACTTTAAATGCAAGATGTATCTGTGCTCCAGAAATTACTCTCACAAATTCTTTGAGTTTGACCGCTTTTAAGTGAAAAGAAAATTACTAAAATTTTACAATCGCTAATTAACACCAACAGGGCAAACTCCTACCTGAGTAGGCTGAATGAGGATGTGCCTAATGAATGTCCGGCATGCGGAGAGACCCCACATGACTCGAAACATCTCTTCGCATGCCCGGCAAACCCGACATCCCTAACGACCTTGTCCTTATGGGCAAACCCCGCAGAAGCTGCACGCTTCCTAGGGTTGCCGTTAGTGGAACTTGACGACAACGACTGAGATACCAACCGATCTGGGCGGGGTTGTTGTAGCCGCTACAACAACAACAACCAACAGGGCAATTTCGGCAACTGTCTTTCAACAAGTCTTTCGTAAGGCTATTGTCAATTTTGGCAACTATATTGAAAGCTATTTTCTGTATTTCAAAAGACTTATTGAAAAAATATGTTAACGAGGAGCACTCTTGCGTTATTCTGTTTGTCTTGTAGCAATAAGTTTCCTAAAAAGTTAATTAAATAAAAAATATATATATTTTTTTCTTTTTAAGATAATAGAAACTAAAAATTAAAAAAGGATTAATTAAAAAGGAAAAAAAATGCATGTGCATGTATTTTATTTAAACAATAAAATCTAATAATTAGATGAAAATTAAATAAAAAAATAAAGATCCTAAAAATTAAAAAAGAAAAAAAAATTTTTTCTTGTTAAAGCAATGAAATTAAAAAAGCGAGAAAACAATTAAAAAAAGAAAAATAGTAAACCAAGTTTCTACAAAATAAATAAAATAACATTTTTTTTCTTTTTAAAACAAATGTATTAGAAAAAAAAGAAAAAAAAATAAATTTTTTTTCTTGTTAAATCAATAAAATCTTAAAATTAAAATTTGTTTCAATTAAAAAAGAAAAAATAACCTCGGATGCCTGTTTCTCAAACTTTATTCTAGGCATTTCAAAGCTATTTTAAAGTTATACAGACTCAATATTTTCAGAAAGACTTTTTTAAATAAATAATTTCATAATTTCACGCTTCCGTGCTTGAAAAAGCTTGTAATTATAAAACTGCTTTTGAAGATTCTTAGTTCAGTCTCTCGAAAGTCATTGAAGTAAAAACAAAAGACTTAAGAAACAAACCAGAATTCATATGCAGTTATCTTATAGCCGGTTTTGAGTTAATTGAAATTGTCTCTATTTGGTATGGTTAAAGGTGAATTAACCCTAAAAGCTCAAAAGTTATTGTACTCAAGAAAAAAAAATGCGGAAAGGTTTTGCAGAATTTATTTTGCCATTCCACTTGTCATTAACAGGTCTATTCGCAAGTTATCGATGATTTTGTAACCCAAAATTTGTATTAACAAAAACTAAAAATCTGACCTTTTTTACCGGCTATAAAATTTTTGCTATCATCGCAGAATGGACCCGTTGCCCGTCACAAGCCTCCCGAGGATTTTTTTAACAGCAAATTTTTAATTACCAAAAACCTTTAACACTTTTAATAGATACCTGGTCGCGATTTTTGGTACATTGGCAAAGATGTCAAGGTATTCAGCAATTCAGCAATGGATTTTCTCAGAAAACTGTTGAAGTATCACATATTAAAAAGGTGGTAACAATATTCCACGGTTGGAAGAATGCATAGAATTCGAAGAAGGTGCAAAAAAAAGGAGCCAGAAATTATTGCAGCAGAGACCTGTAAAAACCAAATAACTCCTGTCAATCGCTGATGAAATATGAAAAAACGTACACAGTGCAAATTTGCGAGGTGAAAACATTTTGCGTGCATAATTTTTTTCGCGTTTGGGCTCATTTGACATCAGCCAAGTAAAAAACGCTCAAAACCCAAGATGCGTCACAGCAGAAGACATTATTCTCGCTGGCGAAAGTCAAAATTTCTGTCAAGTTGCTTCTTGTAAACAATAACAAAGCAATTGTGTACTTGCACCAGTTATTGTTGCTTTTGTGTGCTGAAATGCGCGGAGGTAAATGCATCATTCCATGCAGTCTAAGTAGTAAAATGGTGACGGTGATGGTAGTAGTGATGATCAAGAATGCAAAAAACTGTTCTGCGCACGTACGAAGAACTCTTCAGAAAGAAAATTTATTTTGCTTGTAAACCAGCTAAGTTATAAACGAATATGTGTATATACATATATACGTATATACAAACATATGACTAACTGTCTTTTAAGAGTAACCAAGTGTTGTAGATACATATGTATGTACATATAAAACTCATTCGCATTGCAGCTTTAATAATGTAAATGTAAATTATTGCAATAACACCCACAGCTTTGCTTGACATATGACACCATTTGACGCACCCACGAAGACCATACCATTGCTGTTGACGGTAGCACACAGACAGCAGTAAACTTTGCTGCAGTAAAACTACTTGTATAGACTAACTAAATATACAGATTTTCATACACATTTGTATAAGGATATATTAACAATGCAAACAACCCCAGCAGCATTTTTGCCACTACCCTACTTTAAAGCCGTAATACTGCAGGGTGTTTATGAACGAATTTTTGATTTTAATCAAAGGCAAAAGTCAATTACGTGCAAAAATGTATGTATGTTAGTATGAATTATTATAAAGAATGTACACGAAAAAAACTGGTCACAGTTAAAACGTTCTAAAACATAAATATATTAATGGAATTCAACGATATTTACATATATTTACATCTAAACTTAGTTTTATTGAAATTCGTTAAAAAAAGAGTTAATTCTCCTTGTAATAAGCAAACGATCGGAATTTTGACTTTATGTCCTTCATTAGCCATTGCACAGAAGTTTCAGTGATTTCCTTGGAAACCAGCTGCCATTTATTTTTGAATTGTTGTGCGTTTTTTACAGCTTTGTGGGTCTTAAGAAGTTTGGATTTCATAACGGCCCAGTAGGTTTCGATCGGCCGATGCTCTGGACAATTAGGTGGTTTCACCTCTTTTGCTACAAAATACACTTTGTTTCTATGTTACCATCCTAAAGCCATTTTTCCGTAATGACATATCGCGAGATCAGGCCAAAAAAGCACTGGATCTTTATGAAGCCGTATAAGAGGTAAAAGTCGCTTTTGCAGACACTCCTTAACATAAATTTCTTGGTTAATTGTACCAGTGCTTACAAAAGGATCACTTTTGAAGCCGCATTGGCAAATTGCCTGCCAAATGAGAAACTTTTTGGGAAATTTATCAAACTTTTTGTTTTTATATTTATCTGCAACATTGCCTCTTTTATTTGCAGTGTGAAAATCGCGGCCCCGGATTTGTTTAAAATCGGCTTTTACGTACGATTCGTCATCCATAACAATACAGCCAAATTTTTGTATGAGACTGTCGTACAATTTCCGAGCACGTTGTTTCGCCAACAAATTTTGCTTACCGTTGCGATTAGGTGCTGCATTCACTTTGTAAGAACGAAGTCCTGCTGTTTTGCATACTTTTTGTATATACGAAGACGACATGTTTAATTTTTTGCCGACATCTCTTACCGAAAGTCCAGGATTTTTCTTAAAAGCAGATAACACTTCATTTGCCTTAATTTCGCAAGCAAATCCTTTTTTTCTGCCACTACCAGGGTTCCTTTTTAAAGATAAACATTTATTGTATTTTTTAAGCACATAAGTAACGGTAGACTTTGGAAATTTTAGCTTTTTTGCGATGTCGTTATGGAACATGCTGGGATTTTCCAGCTTTTTGCGCAATATTAACTCGCGATCGATTTCTTTCTTGGTCCTCGTTTCTACACTGATTTTTGTTACTAAAAAGAAATGATGCAGTAAGGTGGAAAATGCTTCCAGCTTTTTAAGTGTCTACCGATTTTTATTTTAATGTTATGATTAACCGAGCTATGCTTGGTTATGGGCGACCAGTTTTTTTCGTGTACATTCTTTATGCACCAAAATGTGAAGACTATGAGGGTTTGGTTTTCTAGTTCAAGAACGAATTGCAGTCAAAGCAGCTTATTTCAAATCGAAACGAGGATATTGAACTTCGATATTTTTTAAAACGTTGGACTGTTGTTTTTTCCACAGTCTTAAATCGCAAGCATTCAATCAGACTTCTCTACTTTGCTCAAAGAGTAACCACATTTTAGTTCGAGTTGTTAAGCAAAGTAAAAAAGGTCCATGAAAGACGAATTCCCTACTTATTTAAAACGATTGGCAAATATCATTATGACTTTTTTAAACAAAATAAAAGAAGAGAAGACGACCATTTTTGTTTTATTAATGTTCTTCCAGTATATCGAAGGCTCATATTCAATATCGTCTATCTGCAACTTTAACAAAAACTACTTTGTGATGTTAGAACCCATCTGGGACTTACCTGTCATCACTGATGTTGATTCTGACTTTGCAATTGTATAGTAAATTCTTCTGTCAAGCGTTATACAAGGTCAGCATTAACATTACCGATAATAGTTAAATCTTAGGTGGATTTTTATATCAGGATCTCGTTTTTGTGAAAAGTGCAGATAGAGGGTATTGAATATAAGCCCTCGATATGTAAAGCCCAGCCCAGGTAAATTAATCCAGCCTTAACTTTTTCATATCAAATAACGTACATTAAACAAACTTTACCAAATTCTAAATTTAAAATATTCCCTTTTCATGCAAAATACGGATTTTAAAGTTGTAAATATTAAGCTCGTTTAATATAAACATATTTGCAATTGCAAAACATGCTTGGTACTAAAACCTTTATGACCCATTTGCATAAAAGAAAAGCTGTCGTATTTAACACACGCAAGCACGATATAAGAAGAAAAGTAAAAAAAAAAAAAAAAAAATGTCCTTTTAAATAAATATTTTGTTATTTTCTGCGTCATCCTGTTTAACGCTTTCTGTGGAAAGTAGGTGACGCGATAGCACATAAAAGGCAATGCGAGGTGTTGCTTTCGACGCGTTTGCCTGGCTGAACGGATTCTGCACATATGTACATATGTACATACATATATACATACATAAATATGTATACACATTTTAATGAATGCAGAAATTTTATAGGGAAAGGAATGACATTTTCGCTTTGGGGCGATATTTGCAACATCTAGACAAGCTGCTTTGCTTTAGTTTCAACTGTATAGTCAAGGAAAATTACTGAATGTAGGAAGGCTGTTATATATTATGTCACCTTAAATGCAAAAACAACGTAACACACATCGTCGCTGAAATGCAAAAAGGGCTTAGCTAATGAAAAATTCAAAATTCACTTTTTGATTGATATGATGCATTTCATCGCTTTATGAAAAAAAAAAAAATTATTTGTCACGACTTTTTACATTTCAATGACTATGTTTATTACGCCCATTTGCATTTTCGGCGACGATATGTATTTTTTTTTATAAAAGTCTAGCTTATTACATAACAAACACCATTTAAATCCACATTTCAAATTTTTACAAAAATTATCAGATTTTGGTATAATAAAGTGCACGTCTTAAGTGACTAGAAAATAACGTTGATTTTTGGAAATTTTTTGTTGACGGTGACACGCATTTTCTTCCATATATAAGGTATGAGTAAAAATGCCTAGTACCGCCAACAAAAAAAAAAAAAACATGAAACTTGCATTTTATTGCACTAAAATTTAATGAAAGGTTTATGAATTCGACTTAAAGTTGCCCTAAGGTCGTCACGTGTAAACCGCTCTTAATCAAGTTTATAATAAACGAGTTTATAATCAAGCAGTGCAAGTTTTTTTTTAAACAAAATATCAATTTAGAATTTTTACAATTAGGCATTCCATAACGCCAAAAAATTACTCATCAGTTAAAAATTGAAAGAGCAAAGTGACAGTTCAAATCAAGAGAGACGTTCATTTTGTTCGGGAAAAATGTTTGCCAAAAAAATTATACCTCACGTCAACATATGATTTCGTAAATAAACAAAGTTGAATTTTTGGAATTTTATGGTGTTTTAGTTTCTACAAAAAATGTTACCTTTTCATGAGAAGGTAACCTTTTCCGCAGGGACGTGAACCGGATTTGAACCGAACCGGTTTTGAACCGGAAAACCGCTCTTTTCTATTAATTAACTGAACCATTAACCGAACCGAAATTTTCCACAAATGTTTGATCCGAACCGAAAACCGAACCACTTTCTATAAAGATTGAAAGGTTCGTTTCAACCAATTTTCAATAGATAAATGTACGCACTTTTTTTCTTTTTGGTAAACATGGTAATACCCATCATGTTTGTTTACCATGTGACAATATCAAATGTAAAGGCAACCCATCTCATTTGACAGACACTTGACTCTTAACCTTGCGCGTTGTTGCACTTGACACTTGACACTTAAACTTGTTTTGTTTTTCGAACCGTTGAACCGAACCGAAACCCCGCTTTGACAAACCAATCCAAAAGTGCAAAAACGGTTGGAACCGCTGAACCGATCCAAACAAATTTTTCATCCGGTTCACGTCCCTGCTTTTCCGGTAGAGAAGAAAACGCCATTCGTTTTTTTTTATATGCTTTTTGACTGCCTGCTATGTGACTTTATGATATCCGCTCTCACTAATTTTCTCTTACAGAAATGTTTCGGCCGAACATTGGACGTCCATTTTCCTGTTTTTCTTTTCGACTTTTCAATAATGCTGAAGAAGAGGTCGCCTCAATCGGCCTTGTTGAAATGGAATATGCCACTTATAAATTAATGTTTTTCTTGGACGAAATTTCACGCAGGCAGATGAAGTCTTTTACATACATTCACATGGGGCCATTCACGTGCGATACCAAAAGGGTTGCTTAAGCAGCTAAAAGGAAATTTTACCCGAGTTGAGTATTCTTTTGTCGCTTGTTTACCAAAAAAGTTCACCTATAGAAATCATTAAAGCCGGATTCAGAGCGCGCTAAACTAAATAGTCGCGGCGCTCCGTTTGCTCCGCCGAATTAAAGCATCATACCGTGATACATACCAAATTTTTAGAAAATCATTATTAAACTCGCTATATTTGACGTTTGTGTATCTATCGATTTGAAATAATTCACACAACAAAATACAAAGCTATTCATAAGAATTTAAGTTTAAAAACGCTTCTTAATACATACTTACACATTGCAAACAAAACTAAAGATTTTAAAACCCATTTTTATGGGAATCGATAGGGTGTTTTGTTTTTTTCAAATGAACAAGTTTTGTTATAAAATTTGAATTTTTTATTTTTGTTTTAAGACAGTTTTGTATACTTGTGTAAATATCTAAGGAAGTTTCAGATTCCAACACCAAGTACTTCCAAAATTATAACAATATTATGCTGATGAACACGGTTAGCGGAGAAAAATTACCTTTTCATTAATTTCTATGTAAAAAGATGTGTTTGAGATGACTTAAAACAATATCAAAAATAACCATCATTGAGAAAATTATAAATAAATTCTCGTTTCGAATTTTCGCGTACTTCTTTATTCGTCTATATTTTATGTATGTACTTATGTAATTGTTAAAGAATCGAATTGTGGGGCGAGGTGAAAAATTGTTTGACTAAAAATAATAGAAGCATTAACTTTTTTTTCCACCAAGTAGTTTGCCAACGACAGTTAGGACTGCGATACCAGAAGTAGCCAAATAGAGCGTACTAAAGGCAAAAATACCAAGAAGCCCACGTATTCACATATTTCTTGAGATTTATTTTCTGAATGCAATAAATCAACTTGCACATGTGCATTTATTTATATACATACATACATACATATTTCTTAACCATTAAATATTTGTAAATATTGTACACATTTAGGATTCAAGGCACAAATGGCATGGCCGGAATATATCGCAACGCCTTCACGGTAGCACTATTCGGATTGGCAAGATCCTTCATTATACCCTGTATGCGCGATACTACGTCGCTACGTTGCACATCACCGCGATCTATCATGCGCTTGAAAAGCGTATACAATTGGCGCTCCGCCGATGCACTAGACAATTCATGTAGATCCATCAACAGCTGCTCGGAGTAACCCTCGTATTTGCTGAGGTTAGCCGCCTTAGCATCTCGCTTCAATAAATCGTAAACAAGTAAGAACTCCACATACGGTTTGGTGGGCGGCACGCGCTTTTTCCCCGCCGTCGACGTACTCGACCAACGATCCAACGCATTGTCGCTATCGAATGTGGCGCGACCGTAATTGTCGTCGTAGAGGCGTAAGAAGTTGTCCAATGACTCAACGTCGTTGGTGAATTCATCGTGCTCTGTCTCCGTTTGTATGTCGCGTATCAGCGCCAGCGTTAACTTATCAAAACCGTCTGTATTGTCGCCAATCTCATCGAAAAGCTCATAGCCCATGCGCTGCTTCGGTAGCGGCTTGATAAGCGGCGATATTAACGGTGCGAAAAGTCCGGGTTTGTGCGAGGGCGTTGGCGGCTCCACAGGCTTGGCCGTAGTGGTGGTTGTGGTGGGATGCCACCAAACGGGTGGTTGCCACCAACCAGACGCTGGAGTACTGACGTTTGTTGGTGGTTTAGTAGTGGACACAGGAGCACTGGAGGACGGTGAAAGCCATGATGATGGTCGAGGTGTAGACAACACGCTGACGTTAGGAACGTTAGGCGTTGGCGTTGGCGTAGGTGAGGCGTTGAAGACACTAGTCAATTCGTCATCACTCACACTAAACGGTGGTTCGACGGTGGTGGTCGATAGTGGCTCATATTGCAGATAGTCGATGTAGTAGGCGAGCGCTTGCATGGAAGCAGGCAAATAACTGGTCAGCAAATTGGGAGCTGCGCATATGCATGGCACAACAAAGGCGTAGTAGGTGGCAAAAAGCAAGCACAGCGTTTCACTGCAATATAGCTTTTGCAAAAGCATGCTCAATGTAGTTCAATAGAATATTTTTTTTCGTTTAATTTCGATTCATTTTCATCTTTATTGGAAACTGCAATGATTCCTGCAACTTAAGAACTTAATATAGGCGTAATTTGCGAAAAAAATCAAATTTAAATACAGCGCCTCCGTAAAAGTCTTGTATTCGAAAGCAGTTTAAGAAGTAGACTGAACGCTGATCTTGCCCATTTGACGCACAAACGCAGGTAAAATGCGCCATTGACGACCTCTTCTGAGACAACTACTTGTATTGAGGTGCGCGTTAATACATTCATACACACACATATATTTATTTAGTAGTGTATTAATTTAGTGGAGGTTGGGTGCAGATGAGAAAGGCGAATTTTTGATAATTTTTTTTTGTTTTCTGTGCTGTTTCTCTTAGAAAGTACACAAAGGCCACTACAATCAGCTTATTAACTGACCAAACCAGTTTTGTTGATTTTTAAAAGTTCATTCAAAGGTTGGCGTTGAAAAGGGTTCGGTTGGTTTCTTTACAGTTATGAAAAATTTGTCTGAAAACATTCAAAAGTATTTCACTTTTTTCAATTACGATTTTTACATACATAAAGTAAAATAAAAAGTTAATGGATATATTTAATTTTTCAATAACATTAAAATGAGCGAATAAAGGACCGACCATAAGAACGCAAGTATGATTGAATAAATAAATTTCAACTACAACAAAATCGTATTACATACATATGTACATACTTTAAACGAGCAATTCTTGTATATACATTAGGGTGGTCCTTAAATGCAGGAAGCAAATTATTACATCAAATTTCCTAATCCTTAACCCCTACATCGATGCTACTATAGTCAAAGATATCACATATAATAAATATTGGTCCCGATTGGAGACGGTTAAGGCGTGTCGCACAGGGGCAAAAGTTCAGATTCCTCTATGGAGACTCAAAAAATTTAAATTATTATTTTTTTCATTTAAATACCTAAAATCCTGCCATAGTTGAATATGTCACATATAAATTTCTTCCCGATTGAAGTGATATCTTTGATTATGGTGGATTATCGATTTTTGGTATGAGAAGAAAAAAAATATTGGGGCGTATTCTTGTTTTCGTATGAATCGAAAATCATGACATTTTCCATTTTTTGCATTTTTGTAGGGTGCGTGCTAATTGATGTCACTGTGTGCGTGCGAACAAGTCCCCTGAGGGAAAGATTGGTCCAATTGCTCGAAAAATATAGTCGTAGGTATAGTAGTTTTGTAACTAGACCAACGATAGTCCAAACATTTAATATGAATATGACGCGCAGTCGCCCGCCGGGCAGACGCTGCCCAGCTGTGCTATAGAGGCATCTGTACTTTGCCGCCTGAGCGACATGACTTAACCGTGAGACTGAAAAGAATCGTCGTGGTTTGATTTTAATGACCACCCTAATATACGTACACTTGGAGTGCAATGTTACAGTGGGCCCGCTATACTCAATCCCGACTCGTTGTGTCCACGTTCGCGCACTCTGGGTGACGTGGGCAACCCATGTGCGAGATGCGGTAACCAATTTGAGTGGAGCCCTGGGGCGGTGTGGCCACTCCGACTTATTTGGTTTAATGGCTTACTGAGGTCTGTTCACCAGTAGGTGGGACTGCAAGCAGGCGTCTGTATTCGCTATATAAACGTGTATTTGGTTTAGAAAACCACCCCTCGCTGCAATGGGTTGTGCGCTGGGCTTGCGACCCTTATCGTAAAAACAAAGAAACGTGCTTCTATCCAACTACTGGATGTCATAGGAAAATACCCAGGCTAGACAACACCGCAGTTCAGGCAATGCGATGGACGGGGCATGAAAGCAAAAAATTTGCAGCATGTGAGATCCACTACAGCAGTCATGAGACGGCGCCCATACAAATATACCCTGTAGAAATGGCGAAACGCGCGATAATTGAGCGATACGCGGGAAAACGGAGGAAAGAGAAACGCCTTTTCAAGAGAAAGAAAAGAGAAGCAGCAGAAAGGCGTGAGTGCGAAGAGCTTGAGATAATAGCTGACAGGAATACGGCCTAAAAATTCTACCAGGCAGCAATCAAATGGTTTTAAGACCGCTGCCAGCTCCAGCGAGGATAAGATGGAAATCTGGATCCAGATGTCCAGAGTACACTTGAGATATGGAAGGAACACTCTCAACGCTTATGAATGGTGACACAGGCAACGCGTTTGAGGAAGGAGAACCCGAACCAATGTATAGGGACGAAGCTCTACTCGACCAAGACGAGGTGAGAGAAGCAATAAGGCGACTTAATAACAGCAAGGCGTACCAAGGTTCCGTCTACGATACTGTGTGACAGCCTGAAGCCCTTCATGAATAGGGCTGCCAGATGTCCCAGTTTTCCCGGCATGTCCCGGTTTAGAATTACATACTTATAAATACCGTGCCGTACAAAATTATTGGCTCGGAGACTCTTTCATCTGATCACAATTTCTAATCAGATCTTTTAGAAAAATATTGAAAATGTAGCTTTTGAGCCAATTAGTAAAGTGCAAGTCTGAAGTTACCAGAAAATTTCATTGATTTTTTGCAATTATTTATTTTCTGCATACAAAAAAAAATGTCGAACATAGTTCGTATGGAAGAAACTCTTAGTAAAAACAATACCAAAAATCAACTAGATTTGTATGGGCTGCAAAACTTCATTTTCAAAATTTTTATAAAAAAAGTCTGAATAGAAAGTTGCGAATTTGTATGCAAATTTTGTGCATTTTCCAGAGTTTTGCACAAAGTTTAGAAATTTTATTTTAATCTTTTCTGATGTATTTAGTATAAACTGTATTTTTATAAGGAACAAAAAAGGTACATGCATTGTGAAAAATTCTCTATGCTTTAGTTGTGATAAATTGTTTTGTTTTGCTGGTGTACGTTGTAATGATCTCATGATTTCATGTTTTTATGTTTTTATGTTTTTGTTTTTGTTTGTCAAAATAAAATTTTACTACATCCTTTCGTACGTAATTTTTGTCGGAACGAAAGGGAAGGGAGCGAGAGGCCTAAATTAATTTTAATCTCTTCAATAACTCTAATGCCTTCCCGTAGAGAAAAGCCATTGGTTTTAAATTTTTGTATCCAAACAGAAATGCAAGTGAAGTTACGGTTTAATAAAAACTAAATCTGTTTTTATGTTATTATTTGTAAACCTTTCTTTAGTTCGACAAAAAATAAACGCTCAAGACATTATCAAGAAAAATTTATTGAGCCAAACTTTCTTATGCACTACGAATTTCTTAAGAAACTTCTGCTATGGTTTGCTAAAGTTTGGTTGTGAAGAGTACAAGGCACCTTTGTTTTCAACAAAAATATATCGTCGGTGATACTTGAAAACGATGTAAGTCACTTATTACCTCTGGTGCTTTATTGATCTTCTATCTGTATTTGATCGTTTCTGGCAATAGTTAATTTTCATCAGCCAAAACAAAGTAGACCGTTTTGCGGTATCGCCGACGATATGCCCGGTTCCAATATTTAGGAAGGAAAACGTGAGACAACAGCACACATACGAAATAATAGCAATTTATTTCTTGTCCGTTTTCTTAAAAAGTCCGTACTTAGCTTTATACTACCCTATATTGGTAAACACTTAGGATATTAGCGCAAGGTTGCCCTTTAGTTTAGATTCTACAAAACTTAACTAAAAAAACTCAATATGGATATTTTCGATAAGGGTTGCCACGTTTTTTTTTTGGTAATATAAATTTGTATCTTATTAATTTCAACGAATATTTATATGTTTATAAGTACATACATACCTATTTATAAATTAAAGCCATCTTAATTACATTTGACCTCTTATTTGATTTTTAAAAACAGGGACCGAAATTAGCCATTAAATACCAAGATATATATCTTTAGATCCTTGCAAGATCATTATTTTTTATTTAAATTTTTTCGATAAAAAATAAACCTTAAATTTTCATTTTATTTTTTTTTTTGGTCAAATGTAATCGAAGTTTGTGATGTTTAATTTTATGATGAAAAATAATCGTTTTTT